CGGCGGCGGGCGGCGGCGGCGGCGGCGGCGGCGGCAGCGGCGGCGGGCAGCGGCGGCGGCGGCGGCGGCGGGGGCGGAGGCGGCGGCGGATTGGCCCCCAGGAGCTGCCCAACCAAAGACGACTGCTGAATATGCTCAGGTTCGGGCCAGACTCGGGTGCCACGTATGTATTGGGAGGGCGGGTGGGAGTGAGCGAGATGGCTTGCAGGCGGGGAGGGGGTAGCTTGACCCCTCCCCCTACCCCCTCCCCTGGACCTGGGCGGGGGGCGCCGCGAGCGGTCAGAGCGTCCAAGATGGCCCAACACGGCTCCGAGGGGCCTCCAAGAGCTCCCAAGGCCTCCGAGTTCTAATTTTGGGGCGGGCATGTCCCCCTATACAGGCGGCTTTTGGAGGACAGATAAAGAGTACTTGTCAACAAATACTCCAACCAATCAAAAGATAGGCCCCGGGAGGCCTCCGAGAGAGGTCTCCGAGGGGCCTCCAGGAGCTCCCAAGGCCTCCGAGTTCTAACTTCGGGTCGGGCATGTCCGAAGGGGCCCTGGGGCACACAAATCAACACACGCAAATTATTCACTGCGTGGGGATCCCCATATGTGCATCTCCTTGCTGGCGCTCCCTTGGTGGTGGGACTCGGTGAGGACGAATCTGGATGTAAGTGTGACTGAGCTGCCTCTCTCTCTGCTCTCTCTGCTCTCTCTGTCTCTCTCTCTCTCTCTCTGCCCTCTCTCTGTCTCTGCCTCTCTTTCCCTGCCTCTCTCTCTCTCTGCCTCTCTCTCTGCCTCTGTCTCTCTGCCTCTCTCTCTCTCTCTGCCTCTCTCTCTGTGCCTCTCTCTCTCTCTGCCTCTATCTCTGCCTCTCTCTCTCTCTCTCTCTCTCTCTCTCTCTCTCTCTATTCTCTCTCTGCTCTCTCCTCTCTCTCTCACTCTCCCTCTCTCTCTCTCGCTCTCTCTCTTCTCTTCTCTTCTCTTCTCTTCTCTTCTCTTCTCTTCTCTCTCTCTCTCTCTATCTCTCTCTCTCTTTCTCTCTCTCTCTATCTCTCTCTCTCTCTCTTCCCTCGCTCTCTCTCTCTCTCTCTCTCTCTCTCTCTCTCTCTCTCTCTCTCTCTCTCTCTTCTCTCTCTCTCTCTCTCTCTCTTTCGCTCTCTCGCTCTCTCTTGCTCTCTCTCGCTCTCTGTCGCTCTCTCTCGCTCTCTCTCTCTCTCTCTCTCTCGCTCTCACTCGCTCTCTCTCGCTCTCTCTCGCTCTCCCTCGCTCTCTCCCGCTCTCTCTCTCTCTCTCTCTGCTCTCTTTCTCTCTCTCTCTCTCCTCTCTGCTCTCTTCGCTACTGGCTTCTGACGGAGTCTGGGTTAGGTGAGCCTGAGTGTGGGTGAGTCTGAGTATGGGTACGTCTGTGTGTGCCTGACTCTGAAGAAATGAATCTGAGTGTGAGTGAGCTTGTGTATGAGTGAGTCTGGGTGCGAGTCTGAATCCCAATGGTGCCCTGGCAGTGTCTGGCGACTAGGAGGCCCGGGTCGACTCCTCTTTGGGAAGCCAAAATGCTGCCCCTGGCAGCGTTTGGTGACTATGAAGCCCCTGGTGGACCCCCCCTGGGGCTCCCAAATGATGCCCCTGGCAGCGTTTTGTGACCATGAGGCTCTCAAGAGATACATGTCGGGGACGCCAAACGGCAATTCTAGCTGAGGCGTCCCACCAAAATCGGCGCGAACGGGCTCGTGAGATCAGCCAGGGTGGCTCCCCCTTGGGGCTCCCAAATGATGCCCCTGGCAGCGTTTTGCGACCATGAGGCTCTCAAGAGATACATGTTGGGGACGCCAAACGGCAATTCTAGCTGAGGCGTCCCACCAAAATCGGCGCGAACGGGCTCGTGAGATCAGCCAGGGTGGCTCCCCCTTGGGGCTCCCAAATGATGCCCCTGGCAGCGTTTTGTGACCATGAGGCTCTCAAGAGATACATGTTGGGGGCGCCAAACGGCAATTCTAGCTGAGGCGTCCCACCAAAATCGGCGCGAACGGGCTCGTGAGATCAGCCAGGGTGGCTCCCCCTTGGGGCTCCCAAATGATGCCCCTGGCAGCGTTTTGCACCATGAGGCTCTCAAGAGATACATGTTGGGGGCGCCAAACGGCAATTCTAGCTGAGACGTCCCACCAAAATCGGCGCGAACGGGCTCGTGAGATCAGCCAGGGTGGCTCCCCCTTGGGGCTCCCAAATGATGCCCCTGGCAGCGTTTTGTGACCATGAGGCTCTCAAGAGATACATGTTGGGGAGGCCAAACGGCAATTCTAGCTGAGGCGTCCCACCAAAATCGGCGCGAACGGGCTCGTGAGATCAGCCAGGGTGGCTCCCCCTTGGGGCTCCCAAATGATGCCCCTGGCAGCGTTTTGCGACCATGAGGCTCTCAAGAGATACATGTTGGGGACGCCAAACGGCAATTCTAGCTGAGACGTCCCACCAAAATCGGCGCGAACGGGCTCGTGAGATCAGCCAGGGTGGCTCCCCCTTGGGGCTCCCAAATGATGCCCCTGGCAGCGTTTTGTGATCATGAGAGAGTGTGAGTGTGAGTGAATGTGACTGTGAGTGAGTCTGAGTGAGAGTGAGTCTCATCTTATCTTATCGAGTCCTATCTTATCTTACCTTTATTACCCTCTATCTTATCTTATCTTGAAATCTCTTATCTTGTCTTAGCTTATCTTATATCATGTCTTATCTTATCTGGTGATTATCAGTGGGAGGAGGGAGGCGGGAGGCGGGAGGAAGGAGGAGGAGTGGGAGGCGTCAGAGTAATAACAAGAACCCCGATCCTTAGGATATGGGGAATAACAGGAGTCCCCATATTTCCCCATATTTTCTGGGTTTCTGCCTTCCCCCCCACTTCCCATATTTTCCTATATTTTCTTGGGAGTCGACGATTAATTGCGTCTGTGTGTTTCTTTCCCTCCTGAATGTCCCCCTGCAGGCGGATTTTGGACGCACTTGTCAATTATCCCGGCAAAGCAACCTAACAGCGATGTGTAGAAGCATATCTGAAAGCATTCCCCTTAAGATTCAGATGAAAATCCAATTGTAGAATTCTGCTGTTCTCGCAGTCGTAGTCGCATTCGCGATGACAGTCGCAGCGGCAACGGCAGTCGCAGTCACAGCCTCAGCCTCAGCCTGCCTCAGCCTCAGCCTCAGCCTGCCTCAGCCTCAGCCTGCCTCAGCCTCAGCCTCAGCCTGCTTCAGCCTCAGCCTCAGTCTGCCTTCAGCCTCGGCCTCAGCCTCAGCCTGCCTCAGCCTCAGCCTGCATCAGCCTCAGCCTCAGCCTCAGCCTGCCTCAGCATCAGCCTGCCTCAGCCTCAGCCTCAGCCTGCCTCAGCCTCAGCCTCAGTCTGCTTCAGCCTCAGCCTCAGTCTGCCTTCAGCCTCGGCCTCAGCCTCAGCCTGCCTCAGCCTCAGCCTGCCTCAGCCTCAGCATTCAAAATGTGGCCCAGGAACTTCTGGGAACTAGAAGAACACGAAGTGGCCTGCAGTTGGCTCCGGGCATTCAAAATCATGCCCAGGAATGGAGTTCTGGGAACTTGAAGAGCACGAAGTGGCCTACAGTTGGCTCCGGGCATCCAAAATGTGGCCCGGGAATGGAGTTCTGGGAAGTCGAAGAGCACGAAATGGCCTACAGTTGGCTCCGGGCATCCAAAATGTGGCCCGGGAATGGAGTTCTGGGAAGTCGAAGAGCACGAAGTGGCCTACAGTTGGCTCCGGGCATTCAGAATGTGGCCCGGGAATGGAGTTCTGGGAGGTCGAAGAGCACGAAGTGTGTGTGACTGTTTGCGAAAAACGAGTGCGGCGGCAGCCGCGGCGGCAGCCTGTCCGGGTCCCGCCCAGACCCCCCATGAGGAGTCATGATGCTCTCTTTTGAGACCACTAGAAACCTATCAGCAAGAGCTGTTAGGTAACAAATACTGCAACAAATCTAAAGATAGTCCCCAGACTGTGTTCTAACTATGTTTGAGGATTCCTCCTGTAGAGGGACGTGCCCGATTTAACTCTAATTTCAGCAACGCTGGCCGATACATTTATGTACCTCCCTGTTCTTGGCTGATCGCCCGGGCGTCATCTCTGCCTCTCGCCCATCCACGTGGTGGGGGCCAGCGGGCTGGCGCCAGCCTCCAGCACAACTGGAGGGGGAACGGGGGGAGGGAAGTGACATCTCAGGCTCCCCTCCTGGAAGAACAATATGTGCAAAATCATCCTCTTGCGGAGGTCCCCGCAGAATTCTTGGATCGGCGACGGACCCCTCCACTCCCGGCGCGCGGAGCGCGCCGGAGGCGGCGCAGAGGCAGCTACGCCTCCTCGGCCACAGCAGCAGCGAACGCCAGATTCAACTCGTCGTCTGACCTTCGGGGCATCACTCGAGTCCCCGCCGGCCGTTCGGAACGGCTCGGGCCACCCCAGGCCGCACTCGGCGGAGCGCAGCTGCCGGCAAGCACCCCGAGGCTGGAAACCGACGGCGGCCACCGAAAGCATTCGAGCCTACATCACAGAGAGTAAACCCTCAGGACATCAAGAGTCCGAAAGGTACGCCGAGCAGAAGCAGCAGCAGCAGCATGAGCAGAAGCAGTGGACACCAGGAAAGGGGCACGAACAGCAACACGGAGGGGTGCTTCCACCAGGATTAGATCCTAGGTGTTGGTGTTGATGGTAATGCTCTGGCCACCCAGGAAGCCTTGCCCGAAGATTACCGCCACCACCACCAGGATCGGGATCATCAAGGGGCCCAAGGACACACAAATACACACAGATAAAATGATTCCCCACATTCTCCGATATTTTCTGGGCTTCTGTCTTCCCCCCCGCTTCCCATGTTTTCCCATATTTCCTGGGGGATGGAGGATTCATTGTGTCTGTGTTTTTTCCCTCCTGAGGTCATTCTCTTTCGGTGGAGGCGCACCGACGCTGCCCGTGCTAGTGCCCACCCCCGGGCCCCCGACAGCAGGAGGTCCACGCTCCCCGCCCCCCGCGAGAAGGC